TGGTTTATTACAAATCAACTTAACAGCCTGCTCCCAGTTGGCTTTTTAGCTCAATTGGTAGAGCGCTGCACTGGTATCGCAGAGGTCAGTGGTTCAATTCCCGTACAGGCCTGATTTTTTTTCAGGTCTGATTTTCGCTATTGCATAAATAGCGCTCTCTACTGTGAGGATCGTGCATCATTTGTATCTTTCTGTCAGTTGAGAAAATACCATAACAATGATTTCGCTTAATACTCAACCCAGGCCACAGGGAAACTACTAAGAGTTCTCACCTTTTTGCAACTACCACAGGATAACCTTCCACAACTGTATCTCCATTTGTCACAGTAATGGCATGTTCTGACCTGGACAACGCTAACTGTGGCATGGCCTTACTGTGAATCAAACCACTCTGAAAACAATTGTAGACTACAAGTAAAGATCTAATAGTCGAGATATATGTAGTTCAACACACAATTAGCAAAAACTAACATTGGTTTATCTTAAAAATAAAGTAAAAAAAAGGGGGATTTAACAGTGGATTCTCCATGAGGTGGCTCTTCTTGTCCACTCTTAGAAAGTTGGGTTTTTGTGTGGAGAGGAAAACCAGAGGACCTAAAAGAAACCCTCAGAACAAGGATGAGAACTAACCACAAACTCAACTCACATGTGACACCACCTCCAGGGATCAAACCCTGGCCACAGTGGTGGGAGGAAAGCACTCTCAAAACTGCACAATCCCTGAGCTCCTCAAATAAAATATTTTAAATAATTCCTTATGTGAGGGCCATACTCAGTGGCTAGAGATGGGCCAGGAAAAGCTGTACAGCCCTACTAAATGAAAAATTCCACAAGAGAGAGGTCAATGAATAAGCAGTGGTCACAAGATGAATAGTTTATTAACTGAGTTGGGTGGGCCTTGACAGATAATGGGGACCTTAAGCAGTCAGGATGGTAATGCAGAAGGAGATGTCAATTAAAATATGAATTCATATTTTAAGTATGAATTTTGCAAATGGCTGGATGTGTTTACTATCTTTCATGGTGCCATATCTCAACTTCAGCATAACCTATGTGGGCAGTGTTGAGTTCCAAACGGAAATCTTCTCAGACCATGCAAATTTTGGTGATTTCACATTGTTGTTTGGGAGAGAACAGCCCACTGGTTCTCCCCATTAGATCTTTTCTTTTGCCACATCCTTGTTACCATCATCATTGTGTTTTGCTTATTTTCTAGGTCCATAATATTAATTTTTTGGTACTTGGTAGTGATGTACAGACCAACAGCAATGTTACATATAGTTAACCATAGCCACTTTACCTTTTATTACCAATTAGCCCCATCTAACTCAGTCAATAGGTACATTACATTAATAAATTTGCTTAAGAGTGAGTGTTAAAAAGAATAAGACCAACACTACATAATACGTAGCACACGTACTTTTGATAAATATTGGACTATACCTGTGTTACAACCCATCCTTGTGGATCAGGAAGCCAAGAAACTTTATCTCCTTTCTTCCTCTTTTCTGTCACAGAAAGTTCTGGGTAAAGCACCAGGTTCTTGTTCTCTTTATACTGTAGGAAACAGCCATTCTCGTCCACCCGCATCATCTGGTGTATATAACAAAAAGCAGAACATAAAATCATTTTATAACTTAATGACACAGTTTTATAAATGAAGGAAAGATCCAAAATTAAACTCAAGATAAAATATTTGGTGAGAAAGGCAGTATTTACCATTATAAGAGATTGGGAAAAAATGGAAGAGAAGTTATAATAAGGCATGTAAGTTTAACAACATTCAGGGGTATCTGAGGCTGCCGTGGGGTGACTATAAGGGGCTTTGACATGAAGGATTGGTATTCAAAGCTATCCAATTATGAAAGTTTAGCAATTTTTTCATTTAAAAAAAATGTGCTTAATACAAAATAGCCTCCATTTGGCCTGAAAATATGCAAAGATATTTGTCTGTGGATATCTGTTTTGTGATACAATCAGGAAGACTACGGGCTTTAAGGATTTTCAGATATTATCAAGTTTTATTGGGGCATATTTGTAAATGTGATGCATTTAGACCAATCATGCATATGTGCAAGCAAAGATATTTGATAGATTATAATAACTAGACATTTTAGCACCTAATAATTTGAATATATCAACAAAGTTGAGATGGTAAATTAGCCATCGTTACGATTATAAAAGCTGACGTTTAAAGTGTTGGCCCTTCGTCGGAGTGAATAGGGGAATTGTGGGCTGTGTGTGCTTTTAAAGGCAGAAAAAGGAGCTACGTGATTGGTGGGAACACGGCAAAGAGAAAAACACGAATAAATTAGTGGAATGAAAAGTGTTCGTTGATACCTGTGGGATTTTAAACTGCCAATTTGAATGATGAGCTTTTGTTCAAGAAAGTATTTAGCACCTACCTGCAGATTTTGAGCTTGTGAGAGTTCACTACCAGGATTTAGCAGATTGACGAGGTGACGTTTGCTGCCCGACGGAAAGCCATTAACTGCTCTCCAGAGAGAAGCTTTTTCCTTGCCTTTGCCTTCATCATCAAAACTCTCTCTTTGAACCATCTCCTTCTCACCCCACAGTGACAAACATGTAGCTTTGTCTAAGCACAGCTGAAGAACAACAACTGCAAAACAATCCCAAATATGGAAAAAAAAATGATATTTCAGATACACAAAGCAATTCGTTCTGTGAAACACCTTGGTTTGTATAAGCTACCCACAAGAAACTGTTAATCATTTAACCCCTATGACTGTCTGGCTTCTTATTTCTCCATCACCCTTCAATCAATTAATGTACAGGTCACGAGAATAAAGGAAGTGATCACTACAGCAAGAAGCTCTTGATTGTCAAACAAATTCTCCTTGTCAGCACCATGGGAAATGTAAACAAAACAGTAAGGAGAAAATGAATGCTACCGATAATTTCAAGATGGAAAGGTTAAAGGAATATTATTCTAGTCTTGCAGATGATGATTATTTAATTTAAATTTAGTTAACACATGCTACTGACTCTCCATTTCATTTAGCACTTTGCTCTGCTAAAGGGCTAAAGCTAGCTTATAATATAAGCTTTTCAAAATTTTACCATGTTGGATATTTAACCATCTAGAACTTGACAGTGACAACAGCCTTAGATTTTTACAGACTCCTGTTGTTTTACTTGTAGGAAATGAGTTTTATCTGGAAACTAATCTTTCTTAAAATTTACCATGAGGCGGTTTAAAGTCCTCCCCATATGACAACCATATGTGTTGATCATACGTCAAATCGTGTACATCAGTGATCTCCTCTCCTTCCCTAGTGAACACCCTTTTGGCGATCCTCCTCCCAGCTGGCCCACCGCTGCTATCAGACACCTTCTGACAGCTGGTACATGCGTCGAGAAAACGATGCATTAACGCCTTGTCACCCTGAATCCCTTTCTCTGCTTCATGTAGATTGAAGTAAACTATCACCCCATCACCCGCAGAACCATTTTCATATACCTAATGATAAGAAAAAGAAATTACTCAATAGTTTAAAACTAAATCATTAGAAAATTAATTATGAAACAGTACAATAATGGGCCTGAGCTAGATAATGCTATCCAATGGATAAACTGCTATCCATCAAGTAAGCGTTAACAAAAAGAACAGTGCAATTCACCATATAAGAATTTATTCATTTGATAGCATTATTAACAAAAAGAACAGTGCAATTCACCATATAAGAATTTATTCATTTGATAGCATTATTCACCCTTTGAACAACCAGGGGGTAAGCTATAATTCATTACAAATGATGTTGCATGACTTCCAGTAAGAAAAGTATGGGATTTTTTTATATGAGGCATAATTACTTGGTAAACAAGCTAATAACAACATTGAATGAAATTAATAAAATTATATATAATGATGAAGACAAATTTGATGATGATTTGACAATGAAAACAGTGGTAATATAATGACTGCAAAGTGTCAAAGAAAGTGATAATCTGTAATAAACATGCTACTCAATCTATTAATAAAACTAGTAGTTCACCTTTAGTTTCAGTCCCTGTTTTCCTAGCAGTCTGCTCTCAGGGGCAATTTGTGACAAGTGCTGATATCTGTAGTTTTCCAATACTGCTGATACCTCTTCATGCGATGCTGCTTCCACCAAACCCAGATGAGACTGTAGTGTTGGTATCACACTTGAAAGGTCTGTTATGTGCTGGTCAACCTTAAATATATCATAATTATAACGAGACTCAGCATGACTATGAAAGATTCAATTTCAGAAGAAAACCCAGGTGTATATATTGCTTTCACCCTACTGCGGGAGACACCTGAAATGATGCTGAGTGAATCTTGAATGGACTTGCATCCTATTCTGGGGCAATAACAGTATTCCTTACACCTCACACCCACGAGACCAGGATAAGTTTGTGCAATATAGGCCACTTAGCTCAAGCACTCACTTACCATACGAGGGTTGCAAAGGGTTTAAGACCTTAGATTAAGGCCAAAATTGATATGGGACACCAGAGTTTAACAGAAAGGCAAGCATTATTCATGAAGTTATAAACCAGGATGAGGTATGATTTGTATCTGCAAATCTACATGACCATGCAGTGAGTTTTTTTCTTTCATTTCATGAAAGGTCCAAAGATTTGAAGCACTCTTGTTCAAGTACACATGATGCTTGACTTTTTCTAAAATTCATGCATGAAACATTATCAGGACCCTTCACCCTTTGCTAATCTCCCATATGTTATAACCAACTTTCTTTAAAAGTTTTATCAAAACTGGGTCTCAACAGTCACAAGTCATAATTTTCAAATACAGTAAGCCTTACCTCCTTTATTTCATTTTCAATCTCTGCTTCACTCATGGCCATTATTTCTTTGGAGACAACTTCTTCACCTTTCAGACATTTTTGAAGCTGTTAAAGCAATTCCAAAATTTGATATTAAGAAATAAAAAACAATAAAATAATATATAATCAATTACAGTTAGTAATAACTTTACTAGTACTCTTGCAATCTCTTATGATAAACAAATACTTAATGCTTAGCCACAATCTACACATCTATAGCAAGTCATTGTATTGGAACTAAAATATTAATTGTTCACTAGAGTTCAATTCCTATGACTTTGTATATGCTTTAACTTGAAAAAAAAAAGCCTCTGCGAAACATTGTTCTTTTAAAAAAGAAAAAATCTGTTTGGATATGAAGGAATTGTTCTCACCTCTTTCTTGTAAACTTTGCTTTGCTTTAATCTGTCCTTGGTGCTCAGCAAAAGTGTTGTGATAAAATGATAAGCTCCTTTAGGACTGAATCTCTCCCCTCCCCTGGTCACCCAAACTGGTCCTAAAATAACACTGACTGATGGCTGAAGAACTCTGTCCAGTACTGGTACTAAAAAAGGGATGATACAAAAGTTATTGCATTGCATGTATCATTAAAAAAAGTAATGTGCAAACTGATAATAACCCTAAGTGTCAGTAAAGTATCTCCCTTAAGTATAAAATTGGAACTACAGTAAAAACCTGCAAGTAAGAACCTAAAAATTAAGAACCTGTTAGCCTAAGATCTGTGCAAAATAAAGGTGTTATACGTGGAGAAAACTGNTGAGGGGGGGTGGGGTAGGGGTGGTGTGGTGAATAAAATTAAAATATAGGACAATTACCAACTTGTTATGCAGGTGTGTTTTTCTCCAAGAATAAGAACCTGTATTAAGAACCTAAATAGCGCAAAATTTTGTTAAGTACCATTTATATTAGAACCTGTTTAGGCTAACTACTAAAAATGTAGGTTCTTACTTGTGGGTTTTTACTTTACTAACAGTACTTCATCTCCAAACATAACAAGATGGCTTTCAGGTAAATTTTTAATCAGAATGAGGAGTTCAACAACAACAACCAACCTTCTGAAAAACTCTTGATCTCCTTTCCCTGCCAATCAAACAATAATCTAGCCCCAGACTCCAAGTTTAATTTCTTTGTGCAGTCATCCAAGAACTGAGAATAAAAATATATTAAATGTTGTGTATCAATGGCAATAGTACCAAGTGCAGTCTAATTCAGTCAATAAGCATGGGTGATTAAAGGGTGGACATCAAGAAGTCACCAATAAGATTAATAATGGCAACATAACTGAGTGAAGTTTAATTTTAGAGAGCATAAAGACCTGTTCCCAATAAATAAAAAATTCTACAAAGTCTAAGAAAAACTCTTCAACCTCGAGCTCTGCAGTCATTAAATGTTTTTATACATAAAACATACCTGTTGACTTTTTTCCATGAGAAAATATTCTATACATATACTAGCAAGCATAAAAGACTTGTGCCATCCCATGCACTGGTACGATGGGTAAACTATGCTGTCAAACAGTACGATTACAAGCACGACATATCCTCAGTCCTAAGTGCTCAAACAAGGCTGCTTTTAATCAATTATGTTTGAAGCTTTTGTTAAAGATTCGATTTAACATTACAATGCAATATTCCACTATTACGAAAATTCCATACCTCGTCAAATCTCCCAGCAACTATTTCCACTCCATCAGAGCTCTCACCGTTCCTAAACACCAATATTCTTCTCTTTTGACTTTCCACAAGCGATTGCATTCTCTTGGAGAGAGATGGCTTTGTGCGACCTCTGGAGCGATCCTCAGGTAAAACTATCCCACTCAGTGTCCAAGAAGCAGACCTGCGCAGCTCTTCTCTGTCTAATCATAAAATGGAATGAAATCCACAGGAAAACATTAATGACCTTTAAGACTATGGGAAACGTACTGGTAGTGTCTGTGACACAGTAAAAACAGCATTTGATGGGATATTAAACTTTAACCAGCCATCGTAATAGCTCATATGCTTACTAATCTAACTGGAAATTTCTGAACCAGTCTCTGATTTAAAACAAGGGCAATAGCAAAGCCTTAAAATCGATATTAAGTAATTTTCTAGTGTTGTTATAGCAAAGAAAGTTATTTTCAATAGAAAAGTTTTTCCTTTTGCCCTGTGTTTGAAGTGTGGGTTCATGACACCCAAGAATTGATCTTCTGTATGATTGTTTTTACTCCCTCCAAGCTCTAAAATATTTCAAATTTCAGAGGAATGAACTGCTTATCACTACCTAATATAGAAGCATAAGGATCTCTGAAAGCCTCCCCACAAGACACATAAACATCCATATCTCGTGAAAGTTGTCTAGGATGAGTAACAACTGTGCCATCAGATAGAAAGAGCTTCCTTGCTGCAGACACAAGTCCCAGTTTGTCAGTGCAGGCATCAAGGAGCTGTAAAGAGGAACACATTAGTAAATAATTTATTTAAATTCAGAGATATGTATTACTTTAACTCATAAGTAATTCAAAGCTAATCAGTATACCTGAGTGAGATCTGGAACTGCAATTCTGGCATAGTTATCTCTGTTTCCATTCTGAAATGCTCTGACACAAATTAGTGGAGGTTTTTTCTTATACAATGGTTTTTTCTTCTTGCCACTTGCTGAACTAGACACTGAAAAAAAGAGAGACACTTTGGGAGGATTCTTGACATAAAAAATACAGTTGAATCTTCCTTTGGGATCACCTCTCGTAAGCAACCACCTCTCATTGGCCACCACTTTTTCAAAATACCAAAAGTTTCCAAGTCAAGTAACTATAAATGGATAAAGACTGATAGTTTTGAAAGAAACTGTTTGGGGCTGCGTCGGTGGGAGTAACGAAATAATCTGGATATATCAACAAAGTTGAAGTGGTAACTTCAACTTATAGCAATATGCGGTCTTTCCTTACACTTAGGTAGCACGGAAAGSCAAAAAAATCTTGAACAAAAGCTCATCTTTCAAACCGGCAGTCTAAATCCCACAGGGATCAACAAACGCTTTTCATTCCACTAATTTATTCTTGTTTTTCTCGTTGCCATGTTCCCATCAATAACGTAGGTCCACTCTCTGCCTTTAAAAGCACACACAACCCACAATTCCTTTATTCGCTCCAATGAAGGGCTAACACTCAAAACATCAGCTTTACGGTGGCCAATTTACCACTTCAACTTTGTTGATATATCCTAACTATAAATGGAACCTCTCGAAACTATCAAATAAGTGACCACCTCTCATAAGTGACGACTTGACCATCTCTCCCAAACAGAAACTGAAATTGTTTCAGCAGATGTTGTAAAAGTAGAGCTACCAGAAGTGTTTCCTGAAATAGCTATACTGCATGAATGTTAGCTCACATTGCATTCCCAGAAAAATTTGGACAGCATCAGTTGGAGTAACCAACAAGCCATGTATCTTACATGTGACTTTTCCCAAACGTTATATAAAATAATTTTATAAGATACAAAACAATCAGACAAGATCCTAAGATTTCTTTCCTTGAATAAGCCACTAAACGTTAGTTCTCTAGGTTTCACTGAACACTAGCAAAAGGGTCTAGTCGCCATAGGAAAATTACCCAAAATATACACCCCAAAGGCCTGACCTATAGTAGGTGAACACCTCCTGGAAGTGACCACTTAGTCTTGACATTTCTAGTGGTCACTTATGAGTGGTTCTACTGTATTAGCATATACAGACATAAGTGCTTTGTTTACCTGATGATTTTCTGGAAAAGGATGAAGTTCCTGAGCTAATTGAGCCTGACCTAAGTACGAAAGCGAAAAAAGAAAAGAAGTATTAGGCATCAACACAGGCATGATACACTTTTACTAAGCAATCATAATACACAACAAATAGCTAAAAATTTCAAGGGTGTAATGATGAGACAATATTCCCAATTTGAAAAGAATGTCACTTGAAATTGACAAAAAAAGAAGGCCTGAAAAATTAAGAAATGACTCACACTTCAATTTTTGAACACTTTTGGTGGCTTTACAAACCAGTGGTTCCAATCAGCTGGTGTATAGATTAAACTTAATTTTAAAGTTGCTTTGTTTGATAAATATTACTTCACTTGCAAAGTATTACTCAACTTCACCTATTCCTGGTAGCAGGAGCTGATACAGGGCGGGTGTGCTGTTTTGGACGTGGCTCTGTCATCATCCAGTCTGTTTTGTCAGCCCAGCCAATCACAGTGTGAGGAGTACTTTTTGATTTTCCTTTATGAGACAATATCGCTGACTTTGGTCTCTTTAACTGAGTACTGCTGTGTGTGTGCGTTGATACTGCATATGGAGACAACTTTGCTTCCCTAAATTAAAACAAAAATAAACAAGATGTAATAAATTATATCAAAAATGAGTGAGTGTTTCAACAGGGATTCCAAACACAGAGAAACTGATGAAGGCACAAGGCCACAGGCCAAGAGCTTTTATTGTTTCGAGGTGTTTGGAACCCCTCATGAAACAAGAAGAACAAGTTTTTGGTACAGCTTCTTAAACAAGTGGTCAACTATTGTTTCTTGAGTCTTATTGTTTGTTTTGTTAATTAAACAATACCTGTGTGATAAAAACAGTTTGGACACAATGAGTCATTTAGGAGTTATCCTACTTAATTTAGTGTTTATCATATTTATTGTTTTGTGGGACTTAAGGAAGAGTCAAGTTCAAGGTTTCTGATGCCCAAAACCCTTCACCAGGAAAAGGAATGTGTTATCAATTCTGTTCTGAAATCTAAGGTTTATGAGAACAAAATGGGTGTTATTGATTTTTCCTTAATGGCAAGACTAAAGAACGCACAAGATTTCCACCTTTGAGCCAGGCAGACTGTTTAAAGGTGAAGACATTAATGTGGATGTGCAAGAGTTGATGATGAATGTTAGTTCAGCACTTCAGAGTTTAACTTTTGGTAACTGTAACGTGTAAATCATTATAAATTCTATGAACTGCAAGGATCATGCATCATACGTATCTAATACCACAGTTCAAAATATGTGAACTTCATATATTCATTGTATCTGATTTATCATCACGGGTTTAGTACAAATCAACTTAACAGCCTGCTCCCAGTTGGCTTGTTAGCTTAATTAGTAGAGCACTCCACTAGTATCGCAGAGGTCAGTGGTTCGAATCCCGTACAGGCTTGATTTTTTTCAGGTCTGATTTTTGTTATTGCATAAATAGCGCTCTCTACTGCGAGGATCGTGCATCATACATATCTAATACCACAGTTCAAAATATATGAACTTCATATATTCATCGTGTCTAATATGCATTTTTGTTTGCGTGAGATATTATTTAGTTGGAATTAACTTATTCATGTCACATGATTTTTTCTAGTAGACATTTGGATATTGCATCCAGATCTTAAAAGATTTTTACCAAGTTTTTCAGGCATACATACGTTAGTTGACCACTCCCCATGGGGGCTTTTCAGGGCCAATTCCCACCCATCCCACCTCAGGGGAGGACATCCACTACACAGTAATCTCGTGCGTGGGAAATTAATGTCTCCTACCCCTAACCCTGCAGGAGACGGGGCCTACAGTTTATTCGTCCTTATCCAAGAAGACTAGAATATCTATCCATTTATTATAGAAAGGTAGCAAATTCTCCTCACTTATTTTAAGATCATGAGTATCGGTCCGGCTGGGGCTCGAACCCTCGACCTCCCGCACAACACAATCCGGCGCTCTAACCAATTGAGCTAACCGGGAGGCGGTTGAGCTAATTTTCATTGGGTATCCAAATACATCCATGTCATGTGGTATACAGTTGTTGATTGCTGGGCTCAAGTTATGAATTATCGATGGTTTGAGAAGTATTTAGTAATCATTCCCTGGTTGAATAATTGTTTTAGTATAATTGCTAAAATGCTTTCAAATGCTGTTGTAAATTCATTTTGTTGTGGAAATCATTCTGAACGTTAAGAAAGCTTTGTGCATATTTTGTTACAATTATTGAATTGAGACAGGCAGCCAGTTTCCATTAGAATTAAACAGATTTATTCAATTTAATGGCTAAAACCATACTTAAACTTCATATCTTACCTTTGAAAAGTGTTACATCAAACTTAGTAGCATTTATCACATATTTGGTAGTGCTGACAAAATGCAAGGCAGCCATTTGAATTAGCTGCCCCCCCCCACAAGATATCAGATATGAAACCATCTTCAACCATCCAGCAAATGAGAATCTCTCAGGGTCCAGTTGTTCGAAGGCCAATTAGCACTAACCTGGGGTTAAATTTGAATCCAAGTTTCTATATTTCTTCGTTCAAGAGCCGTTTTGGGATATTTTTTTTTTTTTCAATTCTTTTCAGTGCATTCAATCATCAAATTGTAGACAAATGGAATTAAACTAAATTTTATTTTAAAGCTTTCAGATCTGAAATCAAATTTTACACTTACCCTGGGTTATCTTAACCCACCTTTGAACAACCGGGTCCAGAGCATTATAATTCTAAACCTAATTAGTTTCTGTCATTAGGACAAGGAAAAAAGTGAAGTTGCATAATTCATACCGAATCCATATCACCAATCACCACTTTCTGTGGCCAAAAGCACAATCTAGACTATGAAAGTAACCGCACTCTATGTTCTAGAGATTCCGGATCCGGATTCATTTTAATTTTATTTTCAATATTTTATTTACATAATCATCGATCTCTTGAATCTGAACTTACCTTTCTTTACGAACAGGAGAACTCTTTTGGATTTTGTCCATGCACTGAGCAAGCAGCACATCTTCATAGCCAATTTCCTCGCTCATTCCTCTTTGGAGATAAACAGAGGCTTTTCCCTTGCTGGCTCGTAATTTTGAGGCCATTTTGATTCTAGCAAACTTTGATTCAAACAAACGCAAACTTTATATACAAAACAAAACCGAGTAATTCATCAGCAATGCATTCATTGCAGCCGAGAAAACCCAACTCATAAATGAAAGGTGGGTAAATAATCAAATTCTTATTAAATCCTTGTCACTCCCGCCGCAGAATCGTCACAGTTTACAGAGATTTGCATTTTTCCAATATGGCGTCGCGTTGCTAAGAATGATGTCAGATTCTACAAGAAGGCCGCTGACCAGTATTATTTGGGCGGGAAAATTAACTGGGTCTTAGGATTTATCTCTGTTTTCACTCATCTTTATATATCTTCTTACTCATTTGATATATATAAGAAGGTAGCCAACCAGGTGCATAGCACCAAGTTTGCTATGACCATTCTTGTATTCAACAAGTACAAAAGGAATAATTGTTAAAGAAATGAACCACATTTTGGTAATGCTTTGGGCTTATGCTTTCAAATTTATTTGGATAAAATTAATTGGTCAATAAATTGGGTGACGATTTGGAAAACTAGAGGGCAGATGTCTCCCAAAATTTTCAAGCTGTATTCCCCTTATTCTGGTTCTAAGTCTGTCTCTTTTAATTCAAGATAATACAATTATTTAACTGGTAACATACATGAAAAAACTTTTGTGTCTAACTGGCTGAAAACAAGTGCTTTTTTCATGTAACACCTGTGCAAAGTTATAACTCAAGTGCAAATTACAAATAGTGCATGCCCTGTCAAAATTTTGTCTGTCTTGACATACTGGTATGCTTTTTTTTAATGTAAATTATTAATAAGTAAAAATATGATTTAATCTCATGCAATTTAGAGTAAATAGGCACTTGTAAAACTTTGAAAAGACTACAAATTACTCTCACCCTATGGGCTTGTGAAATGCAATTTTCATATTAACACCAAACTGCACTTGAAATCATGTTATTACCTATATCTACAACAATTAATTTTCCTGTTACCAACTTAAAGTCTTCACTTTGCCTAGATCACCATTTTCTTGAAACTTCCTGAATCGTTTTGAAGCAAATTGACAGAAATTCTGTTTAGCCATAACAGGGTGTTTAAATAAAATGAAGTCAATACCATCAAGGGTGCTCAACTCTTCACGGCACGAAATATCAGATTCACAGGATATTTCAAGTTTGTCACAAACAGTCTGGTACAAGACAAGGCTTGCTTCGCAGCACTCGGTAAACACTTCCTTCTCTGACAATGAGACTAGATTTTGGGTAAAAATTCTTGTCAAAAAGGCAAATACATCAGTTTTTAAAGTGTTCAGAATGTGTATGTTCTGTAATAAATCCAACAAGTACTTGAACAAAAGCATGACAGTTGTTTCCCCTTCTGCTGCGCCCAACACAGGTGGATAGGGCACTTCCAAAGCACTTTTTGTAGTGTCATGACAGGAAAAATAAATCTCTAAAAGGTATCTATGGTCTTCTAGAGGACGTGACTCATCTGAGGTTCCAACAGTTGCTGCTGATAGGGAATCAAGAAGAGAGTTCAATATACAGTATATATATAGCTTATTTCCTGCTTCACCAGTCTTGCAAAAGATTTTCATTTGGCCTTCCACAATTCTTAGTATTGGGCAAACCTTCCCATCATAGTCAAGCTGAGTGTTGTATGCTGCAAGGAAAACATTATGTAGTGTTGTAGGAAGATTATTTACTGCTGCAGTGATGCCATCAGCCACAGAAGCAAGATCGGTTTTCTTGATATATTGGTCTATCAGGTTGTTTTCTGGGATGAAGTATTGTGGAATGCTTCCCCTCTTCAGACAATCAGCCAGGGTTTTCAACAAATCAACTACTGATTCAAGAAGATGTCTCCATGTTTCCAAAGGCTTCTCTTCACACTTCCATAAAAAAATTGTTTTCAAATGATATGATGATGGAGCTTTTTCCACAGTTGTCCCTGAAACACTGTCCTTCATTTCTTGAATGACTTGTTTCATAATCAACTTAGCCATGATATAGCTCTGGCATTGTTCAATTGCCAGTGAGTGTATAAGCTTCTTCTCAGCATTAGAAAATCAAAGTCTCCACTCAGTTTGGCTCAAATTGCTGTCTGCACTATCATGACAAAACACTGGTACAACATGACAGTCTTCACTAATTATCTCCAAAATAAGCTCTTTGCTAGGCCAATCAAAAGCACGTGTTCTGTCTGCCCATCCACCTGCTAAGGTTGTCCATCTCTCACAGCGCAAACATGGGACATAGTCATGAGGATAATGATTTCTTCTGCCAGGGCGATCCCGTCTATTCACAGCTGGTCCACTAATAACGACCCCACCTGCAGGGAGCTGTGGTCCACTTACTAGGGAATAAAGTGCAGTCTTGTTAACAACCTCAGACCAAAACATTTTGAAGCTCTCTGTGGTCAAAAATGTTGTATTTCCTTTCTCGTCGACGGTACTCAGTTGAACATAACCAGGATGGCTACTTGGAACCAAGAAGACATGTTTTTCCGTACGTTCAAATTTGTCACTCGAGGCCTCACAAGCAACTTCTTCTCTCTCATCTTCGGCTATACAGGTATAAAAATATTCCGGTTGAGTAGATTTAACGGGGTTTGTTTCAGTGTCCTTACCGTCCAACTTTAAATCATTTTCAACAACCACCATTGAGCAATCGATAAGCATGACATCTATATCATTATTTGCCTCCCTTTTCCCATCTTTGTAAACCCAGTGGATTGCATATAAGTTCTCTGCAACACTACCAGACATCAAAAGTTGCACTCCTCTGCCGCTTTTACTCTCCAGTTCTTCCTCGAATGTCTTGTAACGCTTAAGAGAGTTGAGAAACAATCGGTGATTGTGTTGAGTCTCTGTTGCATTCAGTATAATTTTCATTACTGCTTCCAGAGCACCATTGGTCCATACTGATTCTACCTGCTCTGCTTCTAGGGTTCCTAACTTCATTTCCTCCATGATTCTTAAATGAGAGACCACGATGAGTACAAGACGGACATATTCCAAAATCAACAGGCAATCTGAGTGAACCCAAACGTCCCGTTACCTCTAGAAGGTTACGGTGAATTCCACCCTTTCCAAGGCTGACTTCCTCATCCCAACCATCCACTTCCGTGTCGGGTTCAACAGAGACCCGCTCAGAGGCACTGGCAACTAGTCAAACTTGTTGATTGGCTAATACATGCCATGGGACTGCCGTGGCATCGCTCGCGGGTTGGTTACCAATCAAATGACTGCTTTTTCACGTGATTACAGAAGAGTTGCAGAAATAATGGGTGCTATTCCGATTGCTTTGTTGTTCTCTGCTTATGTCATATTTCCTTGTTCTCCGCTGGTCACATTGGGCTTCTAGTAAAAAATGAGTGATTACCCGTAACCGTTAAGTGACCTCTTCCTATTGACTACAGTTTTGAGTGTGTCTAGAGCAGTGGTTGGGGTGGGGGGAGGGCACTGAAATGCCAGTGCCATAAATGGAAGCTCAAACTGGGGTGCAGGGACAAGTTTTGAACCACCAATGCCCACAATTACTTGCCTCACGCTAAGGGATAAATAAAGTCAAGAAGATTATTTGATTTTAAGCTATACATTTAAGGGGGATTACTGGAAAACAATTTTTTTCTACAAGTGTGTCATGGGAGACCTAATAACTGGTTTTGTTTTTTGTTTTTTGTTTTCACTAAATGTCGCCATATCAAAATAAACAGTGTGTCATGGGATACCTAATAACTGTTTATTTATTTATTTTTTTTTTTTGCTAAATGTAGCCATATCAAAATAGACCTTGCACACCACAGAGTTCACTAACTTTTTATTCGATGCAATTACACTAAAAATTCAGTCTAAAACAGTCTTGAAGTAAATTTGAGGTGATGTATCAGGAGCTTTTTGGTTTGTGCTGTTTTTGCCTCCATTTACGAACATGTTTTGTAATAACTTTCACAACAACTTCAGAATGTTGTAAAAGTGCAGATTGAGCACTTCCTGAAAGACGAATTTTTTCACTTCCTGGATGTAAAACATTTGATATCTGATCTTGTGCTGTGGACCAAACCTGACAACAAAAGTAGAAATAATAATATATCAATGAAACTGAAAAACTGATAAAAATGTTATGATCAAATTTGAGAGAAATTTGTAATGATCCTTATATGGTGTTACATGGATCTTTTTCATGACAAAAAGTTACAAGTTACAAATTAAAGGCCAGTTATTTACATAAAGTCTAACCCAAACAGCGGCTTTACCTGAGCAGTGGGCCTTATGTGTAATAATAATAATAATTTATTTACTTATATAGCGCCCTTTAACATTACAGGATGATCAAAGGCGCTTTAAAATCCAAGAAAATTAACATTTACAATAAATAATTAAAGTAAAGATACTATTTACAATAAATAATTATAATGAATGAATAAAAGGTAGATAAATACAGAATACCAATAAGATTGTAGTGCAAATCTAAAACACTAGCTCCCTCTTCAAGAGAGAAACAACACAAACTGAGCTGAATTTTATTCACCAAGAAATGCAAAAAAAGAAAAATTTAAGTAATTCAGAATCACTTTCCTTGGAATTTTGACATTTGAAAGACAAAAATAGTTCCACAGTTTGATACGAGTATAATCCTTTGAACTCCCAAAAGTGGTTAAACTGTAACCTTTCTTTGCAATTCCATTGTGTTATGTTGCAAACAGGTTACAAGAACAGACAAGCTCATCAGCCTAAAGGTGTTGTCTTGATATGAGACAAATTTTATTTTCTCTAATTTACAGGGAAATGTATGGCAGTGAGTAGGCAGAATTACTGATTGAATCTTGGGAGTAACAAAGTTAACCTAAACTCCCAAGATCTAATGATTAATTCTCCCTTCTTCAAATTAATGTTGGGAATTTGGTGTTAGATCGAGATAACTTCTACCTGATAAGTGTGAATATTCTCATTACCTGTTTGCTGAATAATGTTTAGATGTTTATCACTTGCAGTAGTTGAGGGGATTAAAAGAGAATTCTTACCTTATGTAAGTTCCCTTCCAATCTGTCATCCTACACAGCACTGCTGATGATAGACACATCCACTGACTGCGGAAATGGTTTTATTTTCCGCACCATTCTTATCTGTGCTAAGCTTTCATTTGCAAAGAAAAACTCATCAACTCCTGAACTTAGATGACCTGGTTTACATAGAAGATACTTTTGACGCATTGTTACGTTTTCTGGCAATAGTTTATGTTGCAATGGAACTTTCATCAAACCAAGGATTAGAGCTAATCTTGTGATTCCTGTAGCAGCAGAAAACTGTAAAACTTGTTGAGAAGACACATATTGTTCAAACCACACCTTCGTCCAATCATCCCCAAACATTCCCTCCTCAAGGGGATTAATTAATACTAGGCTTGCAACATTGTTCTCGAACATCTGAGTATAAAATCTTGCATTTACAGCACCCAACTCAGCTCCAACTAGTATAAAGGGTTGTGGTTGATCAGAACTTAGAGTGAAAAGTCGCTGAAAATCTTCCACCATTCTCTCACTCGTTGAAAGCTTGCCTCGTTTGGCCTGTTCTGGCTCAGACCAATTCACCAAAGGTCTTTGACTAAAGCCAAGGCCTGCTCTGTCATAAACACAAACTTTAGCCACCTTGGCGATATGAGGAGTAATCAAGGCCCAGACATCTGATGATTTGCCTGTTGGTGCATCTAGAATAACAGTGGGTGGACCACGCCCTAAACAACCCATAAACAGTTTTTGTTTCCAACCAATGTCATAGAGTTCCCCTTGTGGTCTAAGTGCTGCATCCTCACGATAAAGTGCTGCGTGATTGAGAAAACCAGGAACTAACAGCAGTAAGGAATACTTGAGCAAACCCCACCAGCTTCCACTTGTCTCATTCTTTGATTCTTCTTTTTTAGTTGAAGGGTTTGACTGCAACATAATGCAAAAATTATTTAAAAGCAAAATTAAGCCAGTGTATGTAAGGAAGATATCCTTTACAACAAGAACAACAAAAACAAGAAGTGTTGTTCTAGAGTACAGTAGTTACGTGGTACAAATTTTATTTTGACTCCTCTACCTTCTAATCATAATCCAACACAAAAAACCATCATATCTTTATCCCTTCCTTACCTTTTTCAAAAATCTTAGTTTGGTCTTACACTTCTCATTTAAAAACTAAGACAAGAAACTGCTTAGAATCAATGGTAATTTCCCAAGTAAGAGTATAGATGACTTGCTGCAACCACCAGAAAAAAAGATATTTTCATATTTACCTCTACTTTATTCCCACATCTGTTTTCAGACTTCCGTTGCCTCATTCTGTCTTCTAAAAGCAACATGAAAATTTATTGCAATTGATGTGCTCTGTCTCAAATGCTTGACAATTGAAATAATTTTCCATACATAACAGCAAATAAAAAGATTACGGTAATGCAAGCAGAAATAAAATGAAAATTCTACCTTTGGGCTATTCCACATGAGACATGAATATTTGACAGATTTTCAAATTCAAAATATGAGAGCCAAATAAACTTTTAATGAAAGCTTATACATAGTTCTCTAAGAATCCAAATCTAGATCGGCAGTAGTGGCCATGCCCAAGGTGTGTGATGCCATTGTTTTTGAGGGTTTTTATTAACTGAATAAGCCATTTTACATGCCAATATCTAAATTGCTATATCTCAAAGAAATTTGATTGCCATGAATCAGATTTTGAGATCTTAACTACTCACTAGGATGGGCCTTTCAATGCCAAAAGAAAAAAATTCTCAAACATTTAATGCCTCAGACGTACAAAGACATAAATAGTGTTGCGGACGTTACCTTCAGGGTATGATTCAGAGCAACATTTATTTAATTTCAATGTAGGTTCTCAACTGTTTCAGGTCTTATTTATGCTGCTCTTATTGTTAAGTATGATGATAATTTTGACACCCCAACTTGCTCAAATTTGTTAACTATTTAACAGATAACAGGTTGCGGACGTGACAGTTGCGGACATGACACATTTGTAAAAACCCAGAAAACCTCATAAAATTTTCAAACATGAGAAGATGTGTTTCTATTTAATGACAGGAAATGGTAATTATAGACATATTATGATATATGTAAAGCTAATCACTTTTTTACAATTTTCTAAACATACATAAATGCTCTTTGCCGTAAAAAATGACCTAGATCATCAAAGTTTTTATATTTTATTTGTTGTTTATTTCCCGATTTACCGATAAAAGCAATAAAAGCAGCATTTTTACATCAGTGGCATTACTCTGAACGTTATTAGTGGTGAATGAAAAGCTCTTTCTTGAACATCCCCAAAATGTCACGTCCACAACAGATTTTGGTCATGTCCACAACACAACATTTTTATTCTTTATATATATTACGTATATGAGAACGATCCTTCGCAGTAAAGCACTATTTGAGCAATAGTGAAAATCAGACCTGAAAAAAATTTCAGGCCTGTACGGGATTTGAACCACTGACCTCTGCGATACTAGTGCAGCGCTCTACCAATTGAGCTAACAAGCCAACTGGGAGCAGGCCATCAAATTAATTCGA